AAGTTGTGGGGACCTTTTTTTTCAATTTTATAAAAATCCGTGACTGCAATCAAAAAACTAAAAATGCCAAAAGACTTGTATTTTGTTTCACTACTTATGGTTAAGGTTAGGGCTGGGCTGAGTTTTCCCCCATAGAAATTAATAGAAAGCCCCCAGAAAGATATAATTACAAATCTGTGTATGTGTGTGTGAGCTTTTTGCTGTTCCTCACCTCCAGTCTTTGTGGTTCTGGTTCCCTGCCTCTCACTGCCAGTTCTTGTTTTTATACAGCTCTGTCCCTACGGTCATGGAAATAGACTTCTGACACATTTCAGGCACGTGTTTTTTTTTTTTTTTTTTTGCTGTTCCATTTTCTTCAATTCCTCTTGGGCCTCACCATACAAGTCCAGACAGAGTACTTTTATGCTAATGTCTCCCTTACAGATCAGTTTAAACATCACACTTACAGCGTGTGGAACCTGGGGGCTAGACATAGAATCTCTCCTGTGTTTCAGGACAGTGAGAGTGCCTTTAAATTTTATGATCCGTTCATGACAAATGAGAGGTATTTTCCGGCTTGTGTGAGTACATGTGTCGGCTGTGAGTCACAGCGTTGTGAAACCTTCACTTCCAGCTCACCCTAACCTTCCCTTATCTCCCGTCTCCATGACCTCTAATATCGTAATCAGTCCCTCATCAGAACTTTCTTGTTTTGATTTCCATAGTAACAAAGTTCCCGAAGACAATGGTGGGGTGACCCACTAAGGGTGGGGGTGACTGACTATATGCCCAAGTAGTACAGACTACTGAGGGCTGCTACAGTCTATAGAAATTTTGGTAATATTTCATACTGTAACATGTTTGTTCTATGGTCATCTGTGTGTGTGTGTGTGTCTGTGAATTTTGTCCTGTTCTTTTCCAGTTTAAAGTATATATCTGTCAATGAATGAATGTTACATTTATATAGTGCTTTTCAAGACACCCAAAGCACTTTCTAGAACCAATGAGGAGCCACTTCAACCACCACCACTGTGTAGCACCCAACAGCAGCCATTCTACACCAGTACACTCACCACAGAGTAGCTAAGGTGGTGAAGGGGCGGGAGAGAATTCACCAGTTAGATACAGGGGATGATTAGGAGGCCAGATCTGATAGGGTCACAGTGGGCAGCTTTAGCCCGGACATCGGGGTACCACCCCTACTCTTTCAAAAGAACTCGGCAAAACTGGTAATGAGGTTGATTCATTAAATAAAATTGATTAACTTAATTATGTTTACCGGATCATGTATTCTTCTTAAAAGCTGTTTTTTATCATTTTGGAATAAAGAGTACAAATTAAACAATCCATGACCGATAAAATCATACCACCATTTTCAGTCTGGCTCAACATCCTCAATAACCCAGTAACTTTCCCATGCCTTCCCTTCCTCATTATGGGATGTAAATTAGGCTTCAGGACAAGTATGTGTAAAGCTCTCTGATGGGGCTTGGGTAGCTCTGCGCTATGCTAACTGTGCTCAGCTGTCTTCAGGGACCCATTCTTCCAGGTGGTCAAACAAACAGTATGATGTAATTAAGGAAAGGAGTGACCAATGAGGTTTGGGGCGGGGCTCTGCCGGCCCAGTGAGGGAACGTGCACTAGCGGAGCGAGCCCTGTGGTCCTGGAACCTTCAGTGTGTGTCTGTGTAGCTGGGCTCTCAAGAGATTGCTGCTCCATTGAGTTCAGCGCTGGCCCCAAAATGGGTTACAGACGGCATGGGTTACGGGGCTAGGGGTCCGATGCAGATCCATTGCAAAATCGTACACTATGGTCAATTCAGTGATACAAGTTAGATGAATCTGCAACTGTGGAAAGAAGCTGCAGTTCCTGGAAGGAATCTGCACCAGCGCAAACATGCAAAGCCTGGACACCGACAGCAGAGAGAGGATTCAGACCCCCAGCCCAGGATGTGTGAAGCTAATCGTTGAGCCGCCCTCCAGGACTCACTGGATACCGTGTCATTTCCCAGAAGCTCCTCTCTGATTCTTGGCTCCGTCCGCATTCCTTGTTTACCCGCCACCTCTCTGGTTTAACACCAGCTGTGGTATCGGTTTAACTCCTGTGCACCGACATTGCTGCTGTTGGTTGGGGGCCCTGTTCCAGATGCTTCTCTGACCTGTGAATTTTAGCGGCTGTGTATGCCATGAGCCCCCGCTTCCCTGGGGGTGGGGTGGGGGTCAGTGGCATGAAGGAGCCGTCTATTATAAAAGGTCCTTCCCTCAGGGGCTGTGAGATGTTCCCTTCGCGTCCATAGGGCGGGCGGGGGGGGGGGCGGGCCCCCCCCCCCCCCCCCCCGCCGAACCCCGGGGTGGAGTGGTCGGGGGTGGGGTTGTCATTCCTGGTCAGTAACTCTTCTGGGATTGAATGTAGATCGTGCTGGTTCCAGGACGTCACCAGTGTCTTCTGTGTTCGTTTTGGTTTGTTTGGCCCTACGGCTACAGTCTCAACCAATAATTCATTTTAATACATATTTTATTGAGGTTCTGAAAATTTGCATTGTCCTCTTCAGTCATTATTCAGCTGGACCGTTTCTTTTTCAAACGGTCGTCAAATATGTCAACAACCAGGGCAACAACAACACAAATGACAGTATGAGACTCCAAGGCAGGATACCCTAATGCAAAGCCACAAAGCTCGTCTTTGTCCGCTGTATCTTGTGGTAATTCAAACGAGAGCTGCCACATTTCATAGAATTTCTTCATTTGGTCATGTGGAGTATAGCTGAGTTACTAACACAAACCAGTCTTTTGACGACAATGGCTTCCTGTCAGTTCAGATGTTGAAGAATGCTTTCCCTGTGATAACCAGTTTTGAAAGATCGGTATATTGGAAGAAAATATCAATAATTGATTATTTTAATATTATTTTCTATCATGTAAAAGCGCACATCCACACTGCATTGAACAATTCAGCATTTTTCGTTTGTTCAGTTTCTGTTTGGGCACAAGTCTTATTAATGGAGATAAAACACTGGGCTAAAATGAAGACCCAACTTAATAAGAACCCAAACTGCCTTTTTTGTACTGGGGGCAGTTTGGTAAGACGATGCAATGCAACAAAGTGCCATATGTGTCAACTTTTTTCCCCACAATAACATGGCAGTTGTCGTTGTCACTGCCCTCTACTTTGCTGTGTTGCCTCAAAAGGGTGAAACTCACCCAGTACTGCATGTAAACTTTCCGGTTGCCAGACTTGTCAGAACGCTGTCACGTTTCAGAATGCATTTCTTTGCCCGCAGTGGTTAATACTCATTCCTGCCTGGAGTGTTTGGATAACTGGTGTCTGCACAGACCGCTTATGCCTGCTGCTTATCACTTTCACACATACCACTGATAATTTTCCATAAATTGATAAGCGGTCCCAGCCCTATTTAGCCCTCACAAGCTGGACAGTTTTGGAGGTTTATAGCATGAGACAGACAAACCATCTTTGTTTTCTGGCTTTTCTTCCTGTTCATCACCTCTGCCATCAACTATAATACTGACATTTCCCCGTTCTGCCTCTGAGGGGCACTCTTGTCTTCCCCAGTACTAATCCATATAATTTTGTCTCCCCCCCCCGTTCCACGCAGAGTGAGGGTGACGCCATGTCCGCCTGCCTCCTCTCCCAGATGCCCGGGGTAAGGGAGCACAGTGTGTGTCCCGCTGGACGGTGGTTTGCATGACCGAACACGTGCACATGTCAGTTTGCTGCCCCCATGTTGAGAAAGACCTCTATGTTGCACTGGGTGTGGTATTTTTTTTTGGGGGGGGGGGGCAGTAATGAGGGCCTGTGCCCCTCAGCCTAGTGTGAGGCTGGATTCTAGGTTTTTTTTCACCCCGGTGGGCATAAGAGGGGCCGTAAATCATACAGGGGGATCAACCTGATCAACATACAGGCTGTTTTTAACTTTGTACCTTTAAATTAGCGTTTGAAAGCAGCTCGGCTCCAGTGGACCAAACCTAGCGGTCATGTGTGTCCTGGTCTTTATATCCATCATCCCTTTAATCTTCTAGATACTGTAAGTAGTTTAGTCTTTTTATGACTTTGCTGTACATGCAGAGTCAGAGTGGAGGAACGCCCCGACTGGAAAGCCGTGCTTCGCTCGGCCCCCGTTGCTCTGGACGCGTCTCCGCCCGCTGCGGTTGCTGTAATTACAGGCTGGTGGGGCCACGGAGCAGCACAGAGCTCCTGAGCGTGATCCACCAGCAGCCACAGCCTTTTTAAATAGAAGCTGAATTCGTCACAGCTGTTACCAGCTGCCGTGTCACATGCAATGCCCCCCCGCACCGCCTGCCCGCCTTGCCCGTCTGCTGCGTGGCCGCCGAAAGCCAGCTGGAGTGACGTATGCGCTACGATATGCCCCCTTATGGTGGCCAGAGGCTGCGTTCACTTCAGAATGATGTCGATCGGACCGCCCCCAAACCGGACTGCCGGGCCGACTCGCCCTCCCTGGGCCATTGGCTTTCATGTGTTTCTTCCAATGTCTTTCTGGGGATTAGGTCTCTCCTTTGGTTAGTCCTTTAATCATAGCGGCCAGTGATCAGACAGTGGGAGATTTCCGACCCACATTGCCTGGGTGTGTTCTTGTGTCCTTCAGTTTTTCTGCATGCAAATTTGCTACGCGTTCCCTGTGTGGTCGTAGTGAGGGGACAAATACATCCATCCTTTCTCTTCTTGTGTTAAATTCCATGCTTCTCCAAACCGGACCCCCCCCCACCCCCACCCCAACCCACCTGATTGATTGTTTGATTGTCCCACAGATATGGAGGAAGAGGGCATTGTTCCTCAAGTTTCGCTCCAGGGTAGGACACGGAACACGAGTAGGCGCCTGTGCTGGGCTCTCGTGTCTTCGGTCATGACATGGCTTGCAGTTTGGTGTGTGCCGTCTGCATGAGCAACCCCCCAAATCCCCACCCCCCACCCCCCGCCTCCCAGATAGTCAGATATCTACCTCGTGAGGGGCCCCTGGTGAACTGTCACGAGTAACTGCCAGTGATACTGTGTGGTACTGTAAAGATGTTGGCCGTGCAGAAATGCACCTGTAGCTAAAAATATGTCTGCTGCGATCCAAAGCTGCTTGATTGTAGGATTGTGAATTACTGCAGTCCGTAAATCAACCCTGCTTGACCTTCTCTGGTGATTAAGAACGGTGACAGCCCAAACTTACGCTGTTGCTTCAGTAACACTTTTGCGGCCCTGGACCTACCTGCATGTGACAGAATTGGGCATTTTCTGTCTCTTTGACAGTGAGTGTGGATGTGCAATCAGCAGGAAGGGGCTAATCCAGCCTGGGTCATGTGACCTTTGTTTGTTTGGGCCACACGCACGCACTTGCTCATTTATGAGTGCCTTTTAAAACAGGGTAACTATGTTTATAGTATTATAACTATTGTAAATCTGCAGGGAAGTGAGTTTTTTCAAAACGTTGCTTTGTGTTTTCTATCAGCATGTCATTTGCTTGTTTGTAGCAATTAAGTTGTACATTTTTATAATGTTTTTTACATCATTTTGATCCATCAGCATCATGTTGTTTGACTCTGTTTTATAGCGGCAATAAAAGGAAAATATTAACTCATATTGCCATGCATGTTTCTATCAGTTCAGTCTGGATCCCCTCAACCTTTGGTCTGTGGAAGGAGCCTGAATTCTAGCTTCATCTGTAAACCAGCCAAAAAGAGCAAATCCAAAAAGGGCTCCTGTGGTTTGAAATGGCTTAGATGTCCCAGGGAGTTAAAAGTGGAGGGTAGGTGTGGCCCGGGTAGGCCTTGGGTCTAGACCGCCCCTAATCACAGGCCTGTGCTGCTGCCCAAACCTGTAAATATCTCTGCTAACGTAAACATAATGGGGAGCATCTGTCTTCTCACACTGCTCTCATTGAAGCTCAAGCAACCGGGCGCTTTGTGCTGTGTGTGTGTGTGTCCATGCGCTAACTCAGTGCGCTAACTCAGTGCGCTAACTCAGTGCGCTATATACATGCTAATTTGGTATGCATGCCTCATGCTAACTCAGTGCACTAACTTCATGTACTAATTGCGCACTAACTCAGTCCGCTATCACAGTGCTAAATACATGCTAAATCTTTGCTGTAACTGCACACTACCTCAGTCCGGTAATTAATTCTGTACGCTAACCCTGTATACTGACTGCATAACCATTGAGTGAATAGAGTTAGTGTCATTGTTTGTATTATTGTTTGTTTTTTCATTGCACTGCAGTTCCAATATAAATGATCATTTTTTTGATATATCTCTAATTCATATCCCATTTATCACCTTTTATTTTATCACTTCTATCACCTGTCTGTCACCTTTCAATTTATATGTACATGTGGTCTGATTGTTATGCTCTGTGGTGATTTTTAGACCCATTTTATGTGAAATATATTTGCCTCACACCAAGGTTTTGCATAGTGTGGCCTCCCTAAATGTCAGTATCAAGTAAACGCTATCAGCCAAACACTGTAAGCCTCCAGATGAAAGGTAAGTTCTGTTAGACCATCAGGCTCCTGAGATCCAAAGTTGTGTGGAGACTCGAGGTTTAGAGAGGAACTTCTCTGGCTCACCATGATACGTACAGCAGAGTCCCTTTCAGGTCACCCTGAAGGCGTTAAAAACGGCGATCTTCATGAAAATTTAACACGGAAACACAGAGGATTTTTCCAGACAGGCTCAAACTCAGAAAATGAATTATTCTTATGCATGTTTGTGTCTGATGCATGTACAGCAGTGGGGGGCGGGGTTTTTGGGGAGCCTTCCTCTGGGGGCATTCCCTGCTGTACGATGCCCATCTCGGGTCCCATGACTGGCACCTCCCTGCTCCGAGGCTGCAGAGGCGAGCCCGGCTCTTCCCAGCTCAGATCAATAGCAGCCTGCTGGATTTCATCTGGTTTAAGCTATCCCAGCAGAGTGTCTTAAAGGGCCAGCAGCGAGAAATTGTTTAGGGGAGGATGCCTCATCCAGGGAGTCTGTAGGGCTGGAGGGTGGCACCTTGTCAGGGAGCAGCTGTATCTGCACACGAGCTCTGTAACATTGTCCCTCTGCATTGGGCTTCTGGTAGGACCGTAATCTCAGTATTCCAGTGTGTCAGGATGGGAAAGTAAGCAGCCATCTGTGTAGGGGGAGGGGGTGGAGCTATGAGCTTAGGGGAGGAGCCTCCAGTTAGCTCATTTCCCGGCCGAGGCAGCGGCCCGCACAGAGTGCTCGGATCGCAGCAGCTCGTGATGGACACAGGGGTAAATCGCAGTTCTTTTTCCCTTTCAAGCTGCTTCTGTGCCTGACTGTGGGCAGAGGAGCTGGGCTAGCTGGCTATGGGGGGGGGGGCTGAAGGAGAAGCATACTTTCTGGATGTGTTTAGATCCTGAAATAGCAGCAGCAGCAATGGCGGCAGAGGGCCAGGTCCCATCTGTCTGCCCGTGTGCCGTATGGCAGCAGAGAATGCTGGGAGCTCTGTAGCCACGCCCCTATGGCACATGCCACTGCGGGAGATTTTGGGGGTGACCAGCACCATGTTGGAGCAGACCAGCTCTCTTGGGAAAGAGGGAGGACTGGGACATCTTGGCATCCAGCTGCTGATGCCAGATCAGCTGCTCATTCTGCATAAATGTGGTTACAACTACAGGACAGCGGGTCAGAGAGCTGTGTGTTAGGTTAGCTTTTGGTTTGGTTTTGGTTCAGCTTGTTCAGCTGTGTCCATGTTTTTCCTTGTTCGTTTTGCTAAGTACGTGGTGCTCATGTGTTGTGTGTCATGTTTGTGAGCTCATGTGACCATGCCACCCTCAGCGCCCTCTGCCAGGCTGTGATCAGGGGGGGTTAGGGGCTGGGGTGGGGGTGCCACTCTATTGCGTAATTGGCCCAAACGGAGAGCACTGTCTGTGTGCTGACACTGCTCAGGTGTGCATTTCCCATCTGCGTCCGCTGTGGTCGTCTCCCGTGTGTGTCTAAGAGTACACGCATGCATTTGCAGTGTGTGTGCATGTGTGTTTGATTTCACTCCCCTCCTGTTGACTGTCACCCCACAGATCGACAAGCACCCCCAGAGTAAAGACTCTGTCTTCTTCCGGGATGGCGTGCGGAGGGTCGACTTCGTCTTGTCCTACATGGACGACCATACGAAGGACGGGGAGAAGAAGCTGGTGAGTCCGTCGCCGCGTTTGGGAGAGAGCGGTTTCATTACTGCACCGCTAGTCACATGACCAGTCACATGACCAGTCACATGAGTCAGCAGGTGCCAGTGGTTCATAACATGGATCTTTTGAAAAGGCTTTGGGTTCAGGCCTGGTACAACTGCCAAACCCAATAAAGATGTTTACACCCAGTTACTACCTTGTTATACTGTACTTTCATTCAAATAACAATATAAAATAATATAAAAACAGTGGTTTCAGATATGTAGTCACATTGTGAGCAGAAAGAATTGGCAGTTCAGGTCTTCAGCTTACGATGGCGTTACCTTCCAATGAACCCTTCATAAGTGGAATATATTTAAAGTCAAATATGAATATGATATGGTTTGATTTGGCAAACGAACAAACAAACAAATAAATAGCTACTGTTACCTATGAGTAAATAAATAATTAAGGTAACTAAATGCCAGTAATTAAAATGTAAATAAACAAATACAAGTTTATAACAACATAAGAAATTTACAAACGAGAGGAGGCCATTCGGCTCATCAAGCTCATTTGGGGAGAACTTAACTAATAGCTCAGAGTTGTTAAAATCTTATCTAGCTCTGACTTAAAGGAACCCAGGGTTTTAGCTTGCACTATTCCATACTCTGACTACACGCTGTGTAAAGTAGTGCTTTCTCAAATTAATTTTTAAATGTTCTCCCGTTAATTTCCACTCATGGCCACGAGTTATTTGGCTAAACACAGAAACGTCCGATACATTGTTAAATGATGTATGAGATGTTTACGCTACAGAGACTGTAAGCATGGCGGCATAGAAGCTGCCATTGCTCGGCATCAGTATGAAGGATCATGCTGCATATCGCTCGCTTGGGAACTAAGCGACTACTGAGTGTGCTTTGCTATTTCACCATCGCATAGTCTACATATCGCAAGTCATCGTTAAGTGAGGGGCATCTGGATAAGGAAGTGGTCCGTCTCAGCCTGTCCTATTAAGGAGTCTCAGGTTCCAGTCTCTGTGTCACTGATATTCGGGGAGTCGTCCAGCATCCCTCTGTCACACACCTACAGCCAGCTTGGCCTCTGAATAATATCGACCAGTCCTGATCTACAGTGAAGGCTAAACGGTTCCTTTGCTGCTCGGTTAGTTGATTTAGGGAAATCGCCAGGCTGGGATGAGATCAGCACAGCTGGTGCGCCTGCTGTGGTTTGTGCTGCTGCAGTTCGTCTTCCGGATCATTCTAATCCCCATCTGAAGTCGGAAAGACATGTTTGCATGAAACATGGTGCTGAGGCTGGCCAGTGGAAACGGCACTTCGCTGTTCCGCATGGCACTGATGCTTAGGCTTCAGGCAAATGATGGCCCACGTTGTTCCGAAAGGCCCAAGCGTGTCCCATGCAGGACTGAACCCATATGGTCTTGGTTACATGTAAACACATTGACATGACTTTTCCTACCGACGGGCCTATAAAGCCTTCGTTTGTTAAGCAAATTCATAATGGTAATAACCCGGCTGTGTATATTTCCAGTCTGGTGTCAGCAGCTGTACAGGTCTGTTTACTATCTGCCCCTGCCCCCCCCCGACCCCCCCCACACACACACATCCTGTTGTTGCCTTGCTGCTTGTGACCCCTCCCCCGTGATGATGGGAAATGCCCCTCATTCTCACAGCACTTACCCATATCGACCAGCTTCCTTTCATTTTCTCCCATGAGCCATTCTCCTGCAGAGCCCCCTAGTGCCGACCCGCAGAACAGCAGGAACATTACTGTCGGAACATGCAAAGTTTTTAATTTCAGTTACTCATATTCTCTAAATTAACTTGGCCTCAATATACATATTTGATTCTTGTATTTTTCTTGACCTTAGAAATAGTATTCAAGTAGAATTCAAAAGGATTCTGCCTCATGGTCTTTTCATACTATTTTGAGTGTTTCCTCGCTGTTTCTCTAGCTGCTGTTCTTTGTCATTCTCACACTATCACCCCTCCTCCTTCCTCTTTCCCTCATGTCGCTTTTATCTCAGAAATGCCAACAAACAATGTTAGATGCAGGGTCGCCTGACTGAGTCGAGGACCAAACCTTGGTTTTTAAGATACACTTACAAGGTCGCCAAACTGTGTTACTGTGATCCAGTCAGCTTTGCTTTTAAATTTGGAGACTTTTTTTAGCAGTGTAAAATAATACAGGATGTATGTCTGTTCCTGTAAAACAATACATTTCCTTACTCCTGTGTGTGTGTGTTGGGGGGGGGGGGGGGGGGGGGGGGGTGTGTGTGTGTGTGTGTGTGTGTGTATATATGACATGGTGAGGACATTGGATTAGGGTTTTGCCCATACATATGAAAGGAAGGTCTCCATTTAGATAGGTGTAACAATGTTTGTGTGTCTGTCTGTCTGTCTGTCTGTCTTTTCAGGAAAGGAGGAAGGAATATGAAGCCAACTTGATAAAAGCAGGACTGGAGCTGGAGATAGAAGATAAATCGGTAAGAAGCTGGGGTGGGACAGCTGAACACACACACACACAGACACTGCTGAAGCCATTCTGTCATACCAAATAACGGCCTTTTTTGCAAATATGTTCTGCAAACCGTAACCTTGGAGACAATAATGGTATTCCAAGCCGGCCCTCTAATGATCCTCGTATACCGTTCCCGAGTTACTGTCCTCTGCCCCACAATTCATGTTGGTTTATTATTTTTTTTGTTAGCTTGGATCTGTGCATGTTCTAAATAGCATCTAAACATTACCCAAAGGATGGTGCGCTCATTTCCGCTGTCCGCTCCACCACCTCTGGGTCAGCTTCCAAGGAATGCATAGCATTCCGGTGGGATTCTGGGAGATATTTGCAGACAGGAAGCTGTGAGGCGTTATCAGGGCCGCGCACGGTGACACATGCACACAGCGGCCAGGCCGGCTACGCCTTTCCGAGAGCCCGGCCTACGTGCGCGTGTTAAGTCACATGACCCTTTAACACAGTGCAGCAGAAGGAGGCACCGCCAGCTTTGGCCTGGAATGTTCCGGCCATAAAACCAGGAAGCCTGCAGCCTCCAACTGCAAAGCAGGTCCCTCAAAGCAATATTATGGTTGTGGGTGAAGTCGCCCAGTTCCTGTTAGCTGTCATTAGGTGCATGACAAGCAATGACAGCCTGCACGATATCATACACTAGGGTTATGCCATCAGATGCTCAAGAATCCTGTATAAAATGAACTTTACTACCCCCCCTCTCCCTTCACACTGCCCCCTTGCCCTCCGACAGGAATCGGACGACGGCAAGACATATTTCCTGAAGATTCACGCACCCTGGGAGGTGCTGGCTACCTATGCAGATGTGCTGAAGATCAAGGTGCCCTTCAAAGCCAACGACATCCCCAGCCACTACGAAATGCCCCTGGAGTGGCTCTTCCGGCCCTTCCAGCTCCCTGAGAAGGTTATGAACCCAGAGCCCGATTACTTCACCTCCCCCTTTGACAAGAGCAAGATAGATTTCTTCCTCATCGAGGACAAAGACACGTTTTTCCCTCCCTCAACACGCAACAGGATTGTGAGTCCCCCCTTGACCGCCTGCCTTGCCTGACTCCGCCCATTGATTCCAGCTCCATTATTCAATTACAATAGAAACAACAAGGATGCACTATAACTGCACGACACATAAATACTATGTTTAAACAGTTTATTTAAATATCTGTTTAATATCTATAAAATCTGTAATGATATAAGTATTGATACAGCAGACTTAACGTTCTGTTTTGACACTACTGTAATTTTTAGCTGCTGTCTGGAATGGCCTGTCACTAAATCCAGGGATATTGTGGGTAATTTATACTGGGATTCCAGTCCTCAGGTTAATAGAGCCTCTGGTGATGATGTCACAATTGCTGGCTGGAGATGTTAAGTAGACTAAACCCGCTGTGATTGGTGCATTGTAGCATGGCTCCTCCTCTTCTCCCCGCTGCAGGTGTACTACATCTTGGCCCGATGTCCGTATTATAAGGAGGACCGCAAGGACAAGGAGAAGAAGGGTCTTAAGCGCTTGCTCAACAATGGCACCTATACCTCGGCATTCCCACTACATGATGTGAGAGCCTCTGCTGCCCCCTGGTGTTCAGCCAGGTTCATAGCAGAATATACAAATTCGCTTCTCAGTTTAGGACTTTAGGCATATTGATGACAACTAAACCTGCTGAACAATATTATAATAAGACAGTGTCAATGCTGTGAATGCAGCTCACCACTGTTAATAGTAATTTGTTCTTCAGAGTGTGTGTCATAGTCATTTGAGACTGTTGACAACTTTCCTGCGCAGTGCCGGTACTGGAAGCCATCCAAGGACCCAAACTGCGAGAGCGAAAGGCACAACCTGTACAAGCACTGGGCCCACTTCTTCTGCTTCTACAAGGAGCAGCCTCTCAACCTCATCCGGTGAGGGATCCCAGCGTTTAGCCCAGTGGTCGGGGCTCCTAAATACCCCTCTGCTGCTTTTATATCCCTGCATGCTGTGGGGTACAACATTGTTCCATTTGGATCAAAGTTATATTTTGAAGCCCGATCGCACTGGGCCTTTGGATCAGTATGCTCTGAGGTGCTGCTGGAGGCTGGGCTCTGGGGTCACGTTATAGAATGACGCTGTATTTCCCATAACACCTTGGGAACTTTTAGGCCTTCAGTTATCGCAGTGGACACGGAAAAATCTGAAAATCATTCTGAAGACACACGCTGTGGCTCCGTCTAAGTCAGAAGCTCTGTTAAATCTCAGCAGATTCAGTGGCGTGAGCTTGGCACGGTGATGCACTGGCTTCTGTTTTGAGGGCTTTGAGATGGTTTCCTCTTCTTCTTTCTCTAGCTGTTCCTGTGTCAGTGTTTCCAGACTGAGCAGGTCCATCTTCACTTCCCTATAACACTTTGTTTCCCATAACAGGAAATACTATGGGGAGAAGATCGGCATCTACTTTGCCTGGCTGGGTTTCTACACGGAGATGCTGTTCTTCGCTGCTGTGGTGGGCCTGATCTGCTTTATGTACGGGCTGTTCACCTATGATGAGAACGTCTGGAGGTATACCATCTACGCAGAACCTTAAATAGATCATATTTGTGAAAAGCTGTCACTGCTTAGCCTTGTTATTCATCTAAAATTATCTTTAGTATTTAAAGTTCTAACGTAGGTGAACTTTCAGTAATGAGAAGAGTATTCCCAGATTTAAGGTACACCCAGCCAGTACTGGGTCAGTCCCATTTTTAACTCTAGAACATTTCTGTGCAGACACCTTTCTGAGTTGCTATTTTTACACTTTGTCCTCTGTTATTGTCCACTTTTGTCCTTTTGGTTGCTGATCATCACACCATCCTCTGTAAACTCTAGACACTACGGTGGCTGTTTCTGAAGTGCTGGAACCAACCTGTCTGACACCAACAATCACATCACATTCACAAACACTTAGATCGGGTTTCTGAATTGTTCTAATATCTAGCCAAACTGTAACTGTAACAGGCTTTTTGTGTTAGTGACTGAGTGTACCTAATAAACTGGCTCCTGACTCCATATCATGGTCCTGTCACTTTGAGTTTCTGCTCACAGTGCCAAGTCAGCTGATTGGGGTCAGAACCACAGGCAGTATCGGGCAGTACTAGGGTGCAGCATGGTCTGCTGTTCTTCCTCTGTAGCTGACACACTCTCTCCCTCTTTCTCCCTCTTCCTCTCCCTCTCTCTCTCAACAGTAAGGAGATCTGTGATGCTGATATCGGGGGCTCCATAGTAATGTGTCCGCTCTGTGACAAGAAGTGCGGTTACTGGAAGCTGAACTCCACCTGTGAATCCTCCTGGGTGGGTGCATCCTGTACTTCAGGACCTGGAACCTTCTTCCCCCAAACAGTAAAGCCACAGGCCAGGAGATCTGCAGTCTAAGGAGCTTAACCCAACATGTAACCATGTGCAATTGTACTCAGTGCACATATGAAAGGGAGCGACAAGCAGGTGTGAAATGTATTACAGTGATGATACAGATGCCAGTGATCAGGCCCTGAATCCTCTCAACTGCTTCATTGTATTTGTTTGTCACTGTAAAAGCTGGGGATTTACCGGCTTCCTCTTTTTCAGCAATCTCACCTGTTTGACAACGTGGCAACAGTTTTCTTTGCCATTTTTATGGGCATCTGGGGTAAGTGGCTGGTGTCCTGTAACATGCCACACAATCACAAACGCTGCAGTAAAGTGGCTGAAATATGGCTATTTGGGTGCAGCAGCCAATCACAATAATAATAATAATAGTGATAATGATAATAATGAAAATAATAATAATAATAATAATAATAGAGTGGTTTGCACTGTCCCCTCACACCGCTGGGACCTGGGTTCGAGTCTCCTCCAGGCTTCCGTGTGTGTGGAGTTTTCATGTGCTCCCCATGTCGTCGTGGGGTTTCCTCTAGGTACTCCGGTTTGCCCCTACGGTCCAAAGACATGCTGAGGCTAATTGGAGTTACCAAATGGCCCGTAGGTGTGTGTGTGTGAGTGAATGGTGTGTGAGTGTGCCCTGCGATGGGTTCGCGCCCCATCCTGGGTTGTTCCCTGCCATCCCTGCCGGTTTCAGATAATGGATAATGATAATAATAATAATAATAATAATAATAATAATATATGGGGGCTGAACTCCCTCTAGTCGATTAAAGGGATGTACTGCTCTGTTCCCATTGGTTGTTGGTTGTGCTGGACCTTTGCACCCAGTGCAGGTGGAATGCATGTCATAGGTGTGTGATGATCACCCTAACCCCCCCCCCTCCGCTGCCATGGCCCCACAGTGACCCTTTTTCTGGAGTTCTGGAAGCGCCGGCAGTCACGCCTAGAGTATGAATGGGATCTGGTGGACTTCGAGGAGGAACAGCAGCAGCTCCAGCTGCGGCCCGAGTACGAGACCAAGTGCACTGGCCGGCGGCTGAACCGCGTGACGCAGGTACTGCTGAGGAGGGGAAATGGCGCCCCCTGCTGTAGCTGTGCGGGACTGTGAGGCCTCTTGTAAAATTGTCTTCATTTGCAGAGAATGGAAAAAAACTTTGATGTATTATTGTATGGATGTTATTATAGTAAATTAGAATATAGTTTTAAAAAGATGTGAAATAAGAGATTTAGAAGACTTTTAGTCTTTATATACCAAGTGTCAGTCAGCATCATTTTTGTCTATATTCTGAATTGTTTGCTAACGGATATTATTTATTATAGGTCCTTGGGTTTAGTTTTAAATCCTTCAACGAAGACCGGAATTGGTTTTATTGGGTTGCCTTAACTATGTCATGAACAAGACGGTTTTGAAAGCACTAGTGGGCGCCGTGGGAAATGTAGCAATTTACTGTAACCATTTATTGGTCAATCGCCACCCATAGGAAGTCGAGTGGGTTCTGCACAGGAACAAGGTGGATTTTGTTGGCAAGCTGTTCCTGTGCTGGGTTACTGTGGTCCTGTGGGTAAGAGTGGCACGCAGTTCTACCAGCATGACGGCAAGAATGGGGCGACTGGGAGGGTCTGGCTGCCCCAGTGGCATGATGGGTAATTCTTTTGAGTGGGGCGTGAGTGGAGGAGGGCTGTGCCAGGACAATGGTGTTAGAAAATTTTCCAGACTGTAGCTTTTCACCAGAAGAATCATGTGATTGACATTGTTCAAATCCTCTTCTGTGCCTTTATAGTTGTGATCTGGGTGTCATTAGCTGATTTTTTATTTTTTTTCGTTTTTCTTCTGATTGGGCGGCCGATGAAGGAAATTCTCTGCTCCGCAGCCGTGATCAGGATTGTAAGCTGTTCATTTCGGGCAGTCCTGTCAGCTAAAGTGAAAATCACGCGCAATTGTAGCCGCCAGGATGATGGAGGGTCGCCCCCTGCAGACGGTTGGGGGACTTGCAGCCGTGGTCAGCGCCTGGTACAGTCCTCTCCACAAGAGGTCCATGTATAGAGCTGCAGTGGTGCCCAGTGCTTTCCCAGTCGCACCGTGGTGCCTGAGTGTGTCTGATAATTGTGCCCGCTGACCGTCTCTGTCTTTGCTTTGCTTGGTTACCGTGCAGGAAATGGAACCTTACTTACCTCTAACAAGCAAGTGTGCACGCTTCTGCCTGTCCGGGGCCACCGTTATCTTCTGGGTGAGCATCGGCCTGTCACGTCGCGCCTCTGCCTTCGTCCCTGTGGCCTCATCACACTCTCTTCATACTCATGATCTTTCTCTTTCTCACAAGCCATCCGGACCTCCTTGAGTATGTTGTGTAGATCGTAGCAAGCCGAGGAATCCAGTACACTCCCACGCGCTCTTGTTTGTATGGGTGCGTTCACACGAGCTTAATATGTGTGTCTGTATGCGTGTTTCCTCAGTGCCCCTGCAGATGGCGCTACGACCATTAACGACCTGTAATGGTCAGAGGTGGAAAGTTCAGGTTCAGAAAGTACAAATCCAGACCAGGATTTTGTTTCAACCGATCATTTGAGTACTCTGTGACTGTGACTCTTTATAATCAACTGGTTGGTTGAAACAAAATCTTGGTTTGGATTTGTACTTCCTGGATATGAAATTTCCACCCCCGGTAACTGGCAGTAATGAGCCCTTTAGGTAATCCAAGCTGATATTTACTGCAGGAAAACTCAGCAAGACGTAACAGGCCTGTTCCACCTGTAGAACCACTGTGAACTGCGATGATTCATTTGGTGAAATAAAGGAAAGAAGATCTCAGCTGTATAGTGTGGTTTGGGAGTGTAATGTGCACTACATTGTCGCCACGTGAAGGTTAATCTGTCGATTTAAAATATTTTGCTGTTTATAATAAGTAAATAATATTCAGCGTCATAAACGTGCTGTCTCGTGTAAAAGTCCGCAACACGCGTGTCTCTGTGCGAATATTTCACGTTTAACCTGTCCACTACACATGTGAGCGTTACGTGTTTGAGAGCGTGCTGTGAGCATGTCTGGGTGTGCCTCCGTGTGTGCGCTTGTTTGTGTGTGCGCGTTCGCACGAACTTCATATGCGTGTCTGTAGCGAGTCTCCTCGCCGCCCTACAGATGGCGCTCATCATCGCCAGCATTATCGGCGTCATCGCTTACCGCCTGGCAGTGTATGCCGCCTTCGCCAGCATCATGAAGGACAGCCCCACCAGTAAGATCCAGGTGGTGGGCTCCCTCATCACCCCACAGCTCGCCACCTCCGTCACGGCCTCCTGCATCAACTTCGTCATCATCATGATCCTGAACTTCTTCTACGAGCGTGTGGCCATCTGGATCACTGACATGGGTGAGGGCTCTTCCCTGTCCAGGGGGCAAGTGTTACATAATCATGAGGACTTTTATTCACCATTTTTCAGTCAAGAGTACAGATATTTGTAGGTTTTTGATTGTTCCGTCTTGCTCTCCTCGTGATCCCTAACCCCACACCCACTCCTATAGCATGGGTCTGAGAATAGGGTCAGTCATCAGTCTGGGGTTTGGAGCTTGGGGTTTGGAGCTTGTTCAAAGGTCAATTTAATTACCAAATTGCCCATAGGTGTGTGTGTGGGGGGGTGTGATGGGTTGGCACCCCATTCTAGGTTATTCCCTACCTTGCACCCGTAGCCTCCAGGATAGGCTCTGGATGCCGAACAGGACAAGTGGACGCAGATGATGGATGAATGAATGGAGCTTTGCTCAAGGACCCAAAAGTGATACTATTAGTCTGCTGGAAGGTTCAAAACTTCTAATAGGAACTTGTGTTGTACCCTTGACTGAAACAATTTGAGGGTTTGAGGGTCTCATGAACATGAGATGCAGTAGAAAGACTTTAAAGCTTCGGAGATGTAGGATGTGAAGATGGACGGTAACCGGCTGCACAGATGTAGGAGTTCACATAGTAAAACGGAACCCGCATGCCTGGGCGACACTCGGGAGAGGGCTGCCCCCCCCCCCCCCCGGTATGTCCATAACAAATCGGGTCACTCGTTATCGGTGTGTAGCAAACCTGTCGCCCTTCCCAACAGAAATACCCAAGACACACCTGGAGTACGAGAACAAGCTGACGATGAAGATGTTCCTCTTCCAGTTTGTCAACTATTACTCGTCCTGCTTCTACGTGGCCTTCTTCAAGGGCAAGTTCGTTGGCTATCCGGGGAAGTACACTTACATGTTCGGCGAGTGGAGCAGCCTGAGGAACGAGGAGGTACTGTGTCACCTGCGTCCCAAACTGTCCTGCCACTGCTGGGTGGCATTCCACTTTCCCCCATTATCTGGATAATGTCACATCCGTCACAGATTTACATTATTCCACTTGAGTGTATCATTGAGTGAGCATCGAGAACCAGAGCTAACACAGAACGTCAGAACACAGCTATGACCGGAGAACGCCTACGTGACTGAGCATTTAGTGATAAATTCAAATGCAGAACATCATGTTTTCGGCACAGGAATTTTTTATTATTATTGCTTATTACGTGGAGGAGGATAAAAACACCACAGTCATCAAAGGCAGATGAGAGCCAAAATGCAACTAATGGTAATCATAACTATTTATGTGCTCCCTCACTTTCGGTGAGATATAAGTGTTACGGGTGTTAAGGTTAGTGCACATGTGACCCTCTCCGCTGCTGTCGCCCTCTCCACAGTGTGACCCGGGTGGCTGCCTCATTGAGCTGACTACCCAGCTGGTCATCGTCATGGCCGGCAAGCAGCTGTGGGGCAACGTCCAGGAAGCGCTGGTGCCGTAAGTGAACTCATGGTCCCTGGCCCCACACCCACTCATTTAGCCTGACGGTCCCTAACCCCAAACCCACTCATTTAGCCTGACGGTCCCTAACCCCACACCCACTCATTTAGCCTGA